GGGGGGAGATACATGAATAATATATGAAGGGAGCTTAGTGAATGAAAGTTTAGAGGGAAAAGGAACAAGGATGGCTCAGACACAGCGTACCAAGCCAAAAAAGAGACACCCCCCAAGGGAAAAGGGACCCAGCAGAGACCAGGGGGGGTTGGGACACCCAACAAAAGCAAGACGACCTGGAGCATGCAGTCAGAAAGGGCACCAACTTCACAGCTGTAACAGTGGGTGGGGAGGCTTTGGCGCGGAGGTGGGAACACGCACCAGACGTCAGTGTTCCTCTGCTCCTCAGTCCACCCCAGGGGTGATAAGCTAAGGTACAAACACCCCACCTCTCCCAACACCCCCCCCAAAAATATATCAGCATAGAAAAAAAAAGATATGAAGTGGAAAATCCATTCATCATGGGGGGGGCTTCTAATTTTACCCAGAAACCCAAGCAAATACATTGGAAAGAGCCCCAAAGTGCAACTTGGAAGCTAGCTTTAAGTGCTACAGAGATGGCTTGGAAGGATGAAGGAGGCACTGAGCAGTATCCACAGACCAGACTCTCCTACACATAAGGACCAGCAGACAGCACGTCATGGGAGAACCAGGAGCGCTGCCCACGTGCACCGAGAGAGCGAAGCCGGCACTCAGCCTGCAGAAAGGGGCCCAACGCAAAACAGAAGTCGTCCAAACCCAAAGCTGACAACGTCTGCAGAAACTGCCACCATTTCACCCAACTCCACAGCTACCAGCATCTGTCAGAAGCGAAATCGCAATAACTGCATTGCATATACTTCAATATTTATCTTGCTAAACATGAGTATAAATATTTCAATTATAACAATTTCTAAGTTAAGCTGTAAAACTTTTGGCACAAGCTAACAATCTGGGAAAAAAAAACTGAAAATACTTCAAACTGTAATAAATGCATGAGGTCACTTTAAATCAGTACTTTCTTTATGCAATCTGCCACAATACCTACTAGCCCTATATACATCCATGGTGTAATTTTATCACCCAGCATTACATAGATCAAATATCAGGCCACTCTCCAGCAGGGGGCGCTGTGTTGCAAAAGCTTCAACATACTGGTATAGACGTTCTAAAAGCATGGATCCAGTTGAGAAGTAAAATATTATAACTTTATGATGTGTTGGATTTTCTAGCTAAGCTATGAGACCAGTGAGCTTGAAGGAAGAGGTCTCGATTTCTGTATAAGCCAAAAACAATGACATGAAACCAGCATTTATACCATGAACAAGAGACAAACCTCACGCAGTTGTCGGCAGTGATTTTTAAAGCCAAATTGTACCTTTCAGCCAGCCACGCTAAAAAGAAATTAAAAAGGGCCCAAGCCAACTATTGTACTTTTGATAATTAATGTACATCTATAATATGCACATACGCTTAAATAATGTTTAAGAAAATACAAAAGCATGGCCCAAAAACATGTGCTACAAATGAAGCCTTAAAGCATGAAGCTGATATTTCTGGTAACTTGACAGATCCGGCTAGGTAACGGGTCCAATCTGTAACTTTTGGACTTCCTGGGAGGGGCTGAAAAGGTCCTGCAGAGACTGCAATGCGCACCAAGGCAGTTTAAATCCATGCAAAAAAAACCATTAAGTTCCTTTACATGGGAATAACAATGGTCAAAATAAATATGAAGAAACCGCAAGATAATGACTAGAGTGACACTGAATGTTAAGAAGAATAACAGTAAAGGTGTGTTAAGTTTCATTGAGATTAATAGCAATTATGAAATTATGAGTTGGACTGTAGACCGACAATGGCCGTGACTAAGCACTAGAAACCATAGTAATCATAGAAACCAGCACTAAGCAACCAATTAAAATTCAATTTCGCAACATGCTGACGACTTTTCAGAAGCGGACGGCTTCTGCATAATTTCCTGCTTGAGCAGCCTGTGACAGCTTCCGCGACCCAGGACCGGCACAGATGGGCTCCGCCATCACCGACGTAAACGACAGAAAAGCAGCACAAATCACAAAACAGGCGTCTGGTGTGACTTACAGGTGGCCGTAGAACCAGGCGGGGCGCACGCGCTCTCTCACCGCCATGTCCTACCACAACACGCTCTACCACCACTGCCTCGCACTGCGGTGAAGCCGCCCTACCAGGCTCCCCAATCGACAGCTGAATCTTCAGAGTCACACTCACACAGACCCACAAAGGCCAAAGCGAGAGTGCGTGGAGGGGAAGGGGCACCAAGCGAACCACAACTGAAAAGTCAAGAGATAAGAAGAAAATCTTCTGAAGGAAAACGGACAGCAAGTGGTCCCAGGTGAATATATATCGGTCGTCGAACAGGATTGCGAAGCTCACAGGGCGTAGCATAAAAAGTCATATAAAAATAAGTATACATTTTGACGTGGGTGCCCGCAGGAGCGTCCCCGATGCCCAGCGCCTGCAGGTTGTGGCACTCCAGCAGGAAGTTATCCACGCCGGGCACGCCCGTCAACGGGCTGCTAAAGAAGAGGCTCTGGCCGCCGTCGTAGCCCCAGTCCGAGTCGCAGTCGGAGCTGGCGGCACTGGAGCCTTCGGCGCCTGTGGCCGGGCAGCTCAGCTGCTCCAACTGCTCCGCCAGGTCCCCGAACTGAGCTGCCGAGCTGGCCTCTGACCGCACCGAGTATGCAGGGAAGTTGACCATGGAGCTGGCCTCTGACGGGGCCTCGGAGCCGCCCAGGCCCAGCGACAGCGAGTCGGGCACCGAGCTGCACACCGAATGGTCGATCAGGAGGGAGTTGGTCTCCACATGGGGCACCCCGTCGTCAGCGAAAAAGCTGGGCTCGTCTGAGAACTCCATCAGCTCAGAGCCGTAGGCCCCGCAGTCACCGCAGTCCTCCCCCTCGTCCTCCACCTCCTCGCACGCAGCCTCCAAACCGCCATCTGCACCCTCAAACCGCAGGCCGTACGCGTCAACCGCCCCGGCGAAAAACGAGATGTCGCTGGGGTCGTCGTCTATGTACTCTTCAATGAGCTGCAGCTGGGGGCTGCCGAGGGGGGAGACCGGAGCCGGCCGGAGGGGCGGGGGGTCGCACCCAAAATCCAGAGCTGCGGGCAACCCCTTCAGCCCCCGCGTACCTCCCCAGATGTGCCCTCCCTTTACGACTCGCCCCCGCGGATCACCGCTGTTGCTGCCGTTCTGCAGGGGCCACGGGTGGGAGGGGCTACTCTCTACGCACACGGAGTGGGGGCTACAGTCTCCCGCTTCCCAGTTACTAAGGGCACCTGGAAACGCGGGGCGCGGCGGGGAGCTGGTGGCAGCCTGGGAGGTTTCCTCCTTCAGGGAGATGGGCGGACCGGCCAATGGAGGCGTGTGGGGGGCGGGGCTTCCAGTACGGAGCGAGTGGAAGGACACAGTGGCTGAAGAGGGCGTCGCCGGCACCCTCAGACTCTCGTTGAACGACAGGCTCTACAAAAGAACAACATACCCGTCAGTCGAGGGCTCAGCAACGGGTCATGTCTGGATACAAACAAGACGGCCTTCGAAATGCTCTGGTCACCTGACCTGTTTGGGCACATCAGAAGCCACGGAGCGACTCGAAATGCGGCTCTTGCTGTTCCTCCTGCAAAAAGGATGACACGCAAGTGGGTGGGGGAGGGCATGTCACATGACACTAGACACCGGAAGTAGGGGCGTGGCAGCAGGGCACTCACCTTTGGTAGGGGGTCCTCTTTGCACCGCTGTCCCGGACGTACTCCACCAGCTGCTTCTGCGTCCTCCCACTGAAAATGCACAACAGAGCAGCCTGTCAGTACACCGCAGCGCAGCTGACGCAGCTGGAGACCAAAGGGATCGTCAAAGCGCCATCAGCACACCAAGACGTCATCGAGAACCACCCCCCCCCCCCCATCTGCAGCCCTTTGATGTTTATGGTCTTTCAAGACACGGGCAGGGGATTATTCACATCCAAGATCATAAAACAAGGAATAAATGGAATTCATAAACATTACCAAACATTCATGTGCGGATTTAGGACATAACATCAAAAGACCTTCCTTTGCTGCAACCCAAGTAGGCAGAGAAATCCCACCTGTATCTAAAAGAGGAACCTCTGCTGAAGAGAATGGCTTTGGACTTGGGCTTTGGCTGGTCAAACAAGCGGAAGAATGTGTGGTGCTCGACACAGTTCTTCCAGAACACCTTGCACTGGTCCCGACTGGCCATCAAGAACTCCAGCGTGTCCTCATGGGGACCCTGAGCAAAGAGAAACATGATGGTCATAACAATGGCAGGATTAAAGTTAAAGTCACACAGCTGCCCTGTGATACCCACATGGACCTCTGGGTGGAGCTTGACCAGGAATCTCTTCCTCTTGAAGCTCAGCTTGCGGATCTTGGACCAGTTGAAGGTGTTGATTTTTGTATTACCCTGGGGAGATGCCACACACAAAGATTCAGAACACCCACAGACCTGCTATACCCCCACCTATGTTAGGTACGAGTCTTGAAGGCCCCCCACCTGGAAGACCTGCAGACCCATGTGGGCCACCGCCAGGTTGATCTTGGTACCCTCGCGGTCCGCCGCAGGGTGGAACCGCACGCCGTACATCTCCAGCTTGCGGGCGATCTCCAGTACTTGAAAATCGGAGTCAGCTGGAGTCTGCCCTCTGTCATTGGTGGGAAAAGCCAAAGTGTCAGTCTGTGATTGGTTTGTGCACGCAACACAGTGGATTTCTGAAGCCATAGTGAACAGCTTTGCAACATGTGGGACATGTAAAGAGAAGCATGTAAAGAGACAAAAGTTGCGTTTCGTTTGAAGTCAGCCATTCTGGCATATCCCCAGCCTCCCGTTCCTCATGCTGAAATGTGTCAGCCAAACCCCAACAGATACGTCTGGCCCAAGTCGTCAGTGAATAAAATTCTCCCGTCACATGATACTGCGAGGGGCACGGTGACAACGAAGTTGGGTTCACAAGGAGTCGTTTGCCTCTGAAGACGCGTAACGGAATGCCAAATGCTGGCCAGCTCTGTCGCAGCATCAACACCGTGGGTGTAACTGTACATAAAATTTACAGTTCGGTACAATTTTGGTACAGAAGGAAAACAGAATGTGTTTTGAAATTAATTATCAAATATGCAAAGACAATTAAGAAAAGTTATGGAAAAGTTAACAAAACAGACGCTTATTTGCATATTGTAAAAAAATCTAAAATATAATTACAGTGAACTGAATCCTTGTACTCTACTACTGTGGTTGCATATCTGTAACCCCTATTGCCAGTCTTTTTTTTTTTGCCTGGTCTGAATTTCCTGGTAAAAGTGCCTTAGATGCCACTGGGACACTAACTGGCAGAGGTGCCTTCCGCTTTGCTCCAGCGGTACACATTCAGATGATAATCTGCAGCGATTTAGCACGCTGGCTGTGTTTCTAGCACCACGGCCGACAGACAGTCTGTCTTATCAGCTACTCTCACTCTGGTGTTGGTGTATTTCATCGGGAAATCAAGATGCTCCAAAAACTGCCAATGATGACTGACTGTAACCAGGATTAGCATTAGCCGTTACCAACTCGGTCACAATTAATTTGTTTCTTTGTGTGTATGACAGCCCTAATCAACAGGCTCTAATTTTGTTCATCCTTTAAGCACCAAAACCCCTTAGAGCCCCAGTTGGTCTCTGTATGGCCAATAAGTCTGTGAGTTGGGGAGGGGGATTAGAAAGGCAGCGAGATCAGCAGACGCCCCGCAAGCTTATAGAGATGAGTTCACGTCCTCCCCGTCGAGAGAGACGGACCACATCCACGGGCTCTGTGATCAAATCCCCGGAAACAGCCTGCTGCCCTACACCTGAACATGGTGACTAATGTGCATCTTTAAATAGCTCAGTCAGTAACAGGGAGTCAGCCAAGCATGTGAACTGGTTATCCTAATGAAGAATACTTCAGCTAAGAGCTGTGTCTCTGAGCAACTGCCTGAAGTCCCGGGAAGGGGGGGGGGGAGGGGTCCTCATAATTGTCAGACTAGCCAAGCTGAAGGCAATCAGTGTAGCAGCCAGGAAAACCCCCCACTGGACCCCTGGGGCCAGGGCAAAGACTCACAAGTGCCGACGGTGGAACTCCATGATCTTCTCCTGAAGAACATCCTGACTGGGCAAGAGCTTGTTCAGCTTCAGGAAGTCCCGGTCGGCCAGGTCGTCATAGTCGCCCATCTCCGCTGTGGATCCATTGGCATGTGCTTATTGGATGGGCAGAAAAGCAAACGCGATCCACCCCCTCCCCCCACACAAAAAAAAAAATTAAACCTGCCAGCCACCCACTCCCTGACCCACAAGTAGCAGGCTGCAGCTGCTGAGCGAGGTATAGAGCCCAAAGATTACCCAGTAAAACAGTGACAGATAACGCCTTAAGACGGTGCATCATTCATAACACACACCCATGCTCACGCACACGCCTTGCACTGCATGGGTACCCACACTGCAATAAGTGAGAAGCCAGCAGGGCGGCGGTATTCTCAGAGCAGTGAAGCCTGCCCTCAATCAGGTCCCTCTTCATCTGCAGGGCAAACAGGTACCTAAAGGTACGATAAAGGGGTGCAGTTGGCACAATTAAAAGCTCCCAGCTGGCTTTGCCACGGCAGGTTATCCGATAGCGGCTCGGTTCTGGCGGTAAGGCTCCCAAGTCGTACCTGGTGAACTCCTCCTGCAGCTGGCCAGGGTCTGGGGGGAAGAACTTCACTGAGAGCCTGAAGAGCGTGTTCTTGGGCCCTGGAACACAGACTTGGTATCACTGCTCCAGTAGGAGACACTGCATGCATGCTGTGCAGCACATTCTACTTATTTATGCAACACCAAAGTGTGGTGCAGGCAGTTAAGCCGGTTCATGTCCACCTGTCCACCAAGCAACAAGTCAAATCATAAATAACCAGATTGAAATGAAGGTTTAACAGCACGGCCTGAGGTAGAAAACTCTACTTACTCCTTACTTGTTTCACTATGAGCTTCAACGGTTCCAACCATGTCTGTCAAAAAGGCAAAAACGAGAGCAGCTGAGTGTTTTAACCCCATAGCAGAACCCAAGACAAACTCACCCCCACCCCCACTGGAGAATTCTTCCCCAGAAAGCAACAGATAAGAAAACTTAAACTGTACAGACATGCTTCTGAGGTCTGTTAACATGGAGGAATTCATGCTTGTAGTTAGACTAAAAAGTTTGGCTGCATGTGTGTGTGGGACAGACAGACATTTGCAGGAATCGTCACACTGGTGACTTCCAGTTTCGTTACTCGGGTTCTTTCAAAACCCACCCAGTTCATGTGCACGTTCTGAAATTCCAGGCCAAAGTAGTCCGACTCGATGAGATTGAGCCTCCGGTACACCTCATTCAGGAGAGCCTGGCCATCCGCCTTCGTCTGGGGGTGGGGCGAGACAGGAGACAAGTGAGTGAGAGATCGAGCTGGAAATAACATTCCCTCTTTAATATACCGGGATTGCATAACATGTCTAAAAAAATACCAATGTCGCTTCTTGCCAGAGAGCTCAAAGCAGAGGAGAAGCACATCAGCTCCCAAGTTCCTAAAATTAATTTGGGAGACTAACAAGGGCCCAGAAGTCCGAGACCGGATCCCAGATCCCAGAGCAGGCTTACGGAGATGAGGAGGCCGGCCGCACTTCAGCATGTCGGAACCACGAGGTTCAGCGGGTCACTAATGACTATTTACAGAAAGGACATGGCACTGCGGAGACATGAAACCTGAGACCACATCTTTTTATAAGAAAATTACTGGGGAAACATCTGGATGCAATATGGGCGGAGGAAAGGAGCGAGTCTGGTTGGTGTTGGCAGAGCAAACCTCCGCAATGGGGCAGAAAGGAAGGAGCAGCTGAAACAAAAGCTGATTTAGGCACCACCATCTCCGGCTGTCTGGGCTGGCAAGCAGCAGGCTGGATAATTGACCGTACAAAGAGATGGGCATGTGGGTACCCGCCCCCATCACACAGACTGCATCCTCATCACTGGCACTGCATGCCTCATTCTGGTTGGAGAACTCCAGTGGAAACAGACGGGAATAACAGGCTGCTGCCCCAGGTCCCTATAGGGGGCTCCCCTCCGCGAGACCGATGCATCCCCCCCCCGCCCCCCCGAGCATGGTCTGCCAACCTTGGCATTCAAGTGAAGCCATTTAAAATGTTACAGGTGGCATCGTGGGAAAATCACCATACATCAAGCTGCACTTCTGGGAGCACATTTCATAGTCATTACAGGGAGGTGAGCTCGCAAGGAACATTCCAGAGCAGGTAGGTGGTGTTTGGGGGAGGGGGCAGACAAATAAAGAAAAAAACAATGAAATGATCAAGTTAAACAAAACCCTGTCGCTTTACTGACTGACTTGGTTACGTTACACTAACATTACTGATATGTCAATGGAATCAAGTCACCGTCACACTTCAGCCAGAGAGCATCTTCTTACTATGACCATCAATAGGGAGGATAAACCCCTAAAACTGTCCAGGACTAACCCAAACTGGCCGGGCCATCTCACCTCTGGGGGGGGTGGGGACATGCTGGTCTCCTAATCCGCAGGGGGGCAGGGGGATTACACCCTCCGCTGCCCGTAAACCATCTGTAACCCGCAACAGCCTGCCTGCGAGGCTGCCACTGTTTACATTTCATTCTCCAGGGCGTCGGATGAGCCTCGAACAAACTGCGTCAGCGAGCCACCACGCCTGAGCACGCCCTCCTCACCTTCCCCCGGAGGACAGACCTGTCCGGCGTCCTGATTACTCACCAGGCACTCACCTGACGGGAAAGGTCATGCTGTCTGACGCACTAAATAAGCGGTATGGAAATGACGTCTAACACTGACAACTTTACTCCTGAATCACCATCCATAAGTGCAGCAGCACGTTTGAGTCTACATGCCCTGCGACAGAGGGGCATGCCACTCACAGTGTACCCTGACAACGGGCCCAGTGCCGTCCATGAAGAGAAACTTTTCCTCATGTGCTTCTCTTCCAAAGTTACTGGCCTCAAATCAGCTTAATGAACATGTGGCAAATGACGTAGGCGGATCTTACTGGGAAGGAAAGCATATCAGGAAAAACTAAGGGAACCACGGCTTCTCAGATAACGTCGAGCGCCTCAACCAGCTGCCTGCATAAGGCTTTGCAGAAGATAACGCTGAGCTTAATCCTGCTCAGGATCTGGGGTTTAGGTCATGCTGGCAGGCCCCAGCATGACAGAGAACGCCCCACCCTGCCTTTCGCCACACACGCGTGGGCTACCCCTGCTTCAACGAGCAGCCCCCGAGCATGACTGTACCGCAAGCCAATTGTCAGGCGCAAAACAGCCTTTCCATGAGGTCGATATGTGATTAAGCCATGTGCTCTCATGATGATACAGCCCCTTCCAGACCTAGCCCACACCGGGGGAGGACTCAAGCAAGACACATTCAGCCCGAAGATGAGATTAAAGGTCACTTCAATTCAATTCAATTCCAAAAACTTTATTTGTCCCCGAGGGGCAATTAAAGGCACTCAGGGCAGTTGAACAAAGGACACAATGATGTAAAGTGCAACAGTGATTACAGTGTTTAGCAGATTCTGCGCAAAATCTTAGTCAATCCGATGGGTGAGAAATGAATAAATAAACAGGAGGAAATTGGGATGGGATGGGCTATGTAATTATTCCCGATTCAAGTCGCCATCTTGAGAGCATGGACACTGGATACTGCAGCTGGGGGGAGGGGGGGGCATGTCTTTTCTGTGTCACACCCCCAGCCCAAACAAACATGGGGGCCCTTGTCAAGCAGACTGCATGCAAATCTAACTGTGTGGGGGGGAAACGTCAGGAGAATTACAGCCGATCATCATTACAGCACATTTGCTGCCATAGTTATTCGGAACCTTGAGTCTCTCCCCCCCCCAACAGAGTTTAAAAATTTCAATACGACACAGCTGTAATTATACAGAGAAATGCCTCTGTAATGACAAAGTCATAAAAGTTCTGACCACAGGAGAACATCAAATTACACAGCGCATATTCCAAACGCACACCAGAAAAAAAAACTCGTCTGCTTACTTAAAACTCATAGTTGGCAGGGGGGGGGGGGGGCAGCTTCGGCAGAGCGAGGCGAGTAGCTAAGTCGTTACAGTAAAAGCTCAGAAACACCCAGGGGGGCCGCAGGACACGCACTTCAGAAACTGCAACAAACCAGCTCTTCAAACCTTTGCCCATAAAACAAACGTCATTTAAATTCACATTACAGCTGGATCCAAACCAGGACCTGAACGGGGTGGGGCGTATTTTCTGCTTTACAGTGCCGCTTGACTATTTTTCTCAGTTCCTTGCCTTAGGGGGTTAAAAGTTTAAGAGGCCAGTTGTTAAAATTCCTTGGCGTAACTTCCTCCGGGCTCTGGTGGATAACCTCCCTCTCTCCCTCTCTCCTTCCAGAGTGGCGTCCCAGACACAAGAGATCCTTTAAAAACCAGGAAGGTCCCCTACCAGCCCCCGCCAACCCCACAGTTTCGCGGCTCGTTCTCAAGGAGTCAACTGCCTGCCCCCCAAACTCCGCCTGGTGGCTGTTATACAGGCCAGTTCTCCAAGCCCCCCCCCCACGAGGCTGTGAGCTTGAGGGCCCATCAGGGCCTGCCGCTCACTCCGGATAAAAGGAGCCTGTGTCTCCATGACTCTTTCCCCCCAGACAGACACCATAAGGCTGGCCTTTCTCCTCCAGGGATGGGGGGCGGGAGGCCCCATGAAAAACATCCTGCACCGAGGCCGAGTCCGAGGCAGCCCTTGACCTTGAGGGCACCCAGGCACACCTGGTGCACGAAAATGAGAATTACTGCCCCTTTCGGCTAAAACACCCCCAGGTTCAACGAAACTGGTCTCTGGAAACCAAGAGACCAAAGATGACAAAAGATGTGGGGGCTGAGTGTGCCGACAACAGGACCATAAAAACACATCATTATAACGCAGTCCGAGATGCCCAAACTACACTGGAATCTAAATTAAATTGACAAGTAAAACAGGCCCCAAGCTGTGTGAACTGCACAAACCAATAAGCACAGCAACTCACAAATCTGATACTTTTCCTACATTTTTCATATTAAATTTCAGATTGCCAAGATGCTGGAAGGCAGTGCGTCTTCCATGCAGAGCCAGTAATAACTCGTCTGCCACCTTATGTGCTACGTTATGTTCTGGACTTGAGAAGAAATCCAGGCAATGCTTAGCAACATACTTATAAAACCGTCAGTAGCATGGAAATCTCACTGTTAAGCGGGAGGTTTGCTGGGCTGCAGGAAGAGGCGAGCCATGCGGTTTGCCCGGACGCCCGGCCGCCCGGAGCCCCCGTCAGCGGAGCCGCAGGCCGGGCGCCCGGCCGCCCGGAGCCCCCGTCAGCGGAGCCGCAGGCCGGGCGCCCGGCCGCCCGGAGCCCCCATCAGCGGAGCTGCAGGCCAACTCCCTCCATCAAGCAGTCTCTTGACAAATTGCTTCCGACATTTTGGCCACTTCCCTGCGGGAATGCTCGCCGTTTGGCTGACCGACTTGAACACAGCTGCTGAGGCATGGTGTTTGCTGGCCCCGAGATGCCCCCCATCTTCCCACGGGGCTGTCTGTTCTGGTGAGCCCCAAACACTCCTTTACTGGGGGCCGTTTTTTTTTGCCAAAATGAAATACTTTACATGGTGCTGACATGTGACAGCATCACATTCTTTCGTTGGCAAGTCTTCAAGGGAAACTAATCAGGTATGAAATGGACTTAAAGGAGTTGGGGAACTAACTCTGTGATCAACAGGTTCAGGTTTCTGTAGGGTCCTGCTGCCAGGAAACAAGCATTTTAGCCTGGAGAACAGAATATATAGAGCAAATCTTATGATGACAAAATGCTGATGTTACGCGGTAGCCCACCTGATATCAGATATATTATCAAACGATTCAAATACAAACATCACAAATTCATGCACCAAAAATGAGTTCTGGGGCATATTTCATGCAGACTTCAGACAATATTCCAAAACTTTGCAAAGGGGAGCGTTCCTATTGGTCCCGTCGGTCTCTGCATTAGGTCCACCCAAAAAATGGCCGAGCAGAAAGGGCCAGGAATACTCAGCACCTGAAGCAGTGAGACGAATGACCTTCTCATCCCAGAAATAAGCCCCCCCCCCCCCCCCNTCGTTTCCACACCTTCTCACAAGGCATTTCCACAATCAAAATATCACACCACAGTGACACTTAACACGTCTGATGCCAGAAGTTCCCACCGACTGTAAGGTTTATCTAATGCACAAAGAACTCCACATGACCACCGTATGGCGAGAATACAGCAAACTTTAATATGGGCGGGTCTGACTACACCACATTTCACCCAAACCACAAGCACCCGAAGAATTACCTGGTCAACGAATCATTTACCAAACACTGGTCCAGGCAGGCTGATTCCCAGTCAGGAAATTCCCAGAAAAAAAACTGGGGGGAGAAATCTTTGCCAGGTTGATGAAAGTCATTCACTGAGCCAGGCGACACCCAACAAGAACACTGAAAAGCACACAGAAAAGGAACGTTCCTGACTCCTTCACACAATTCTTGGGGGGATCTGAGAGAGTCATTTCCATTTACATTCATGTGTAAACTCCTTAACGATGCAAAGGAGGCTGCGAGTCCTCGCTCACTTCCTGATATAGCTCAGTGAACTAATTCAGAAATAAATATATACATACATACATGCCTAGCATACGTTGAATTGCCATGGTGGAATTCAGATGTCACAGTGTATCTAATGTGGTTGTAATTAAAATGCATGAAGAGGCAACTTTCTCCAAGGCTACTTAAGCACAAAGGCTACAGAGGTCCTTGACTTACAGCATTTGGGACATACAGTATACATCCAGCCTGGTAATAATACATTCTAGCTGACTTACTTCGCTTGATTTGCAGCCAGTGTGATGACATGTTAACAAAACCAGAGCCAGTCATGAACAAACGTCCAGCCCACGTCTGGGTACTGGCATCTGGCTCAGGAAGGTCTGTCTGGTCAGACCAGAGACGGAGCCAGGAATCAGTACGCCGAAGAACGGCAGGCAAACCTTCCCGGAACACCGCGACGTTAAGGCAGAGGGATGAATTACACATCAAACGCCACACACCCGGAGCCCCACATACTTCTCGCATTAACTCAAGCTGACTGACTGCAATCAACCATTTACCCACAAGTCTGGCTCTGAAGCAGCCTTTCACAGCTAGACCAGCACTCGTGAAGAAACAGCATGCAACGTTCTTTTGGACACCAGCTGCTTCAAAGTCCCCGAAAGAGACCTGGACACCCAGCCTGTTAAGTATTTTTAGATGAAAAGTACAAGGAAAAAAAGAAAGAGAAAAAAAAAAAAATCACAGGGTGGCTAAATGGGTTTAAAAAGACAAAGCATATACTTTAACAAAATACTGTAGTTAAATACCACCAAAGTGAAATAAATGGCAGCGTGCAGAACAGGCATTAAATTTAGCAGTGTTCCGAAACCAGCGGCCAGCTGTACAGACCACAATCTAATGGCCTTAACATACACTCTCCCTGAACCGCGCACAAGGGACTGGAAAACGGACGGGACCGGCAGGAAACCACAAAGGGAGGTCAACCTCCATGGATACCCGTCTCATCAGGGTATCAGCAGTGGCTGGACACTATGAAAGTAAGCGGCTACAACAAAAGGACGAACAACTCGCTCAGCCCTACGAGAATGTTTCACATACAGACACAGAAGCAGCCATTGTGCAAAAACACCCCAGGTTTCACCTCATTAGGGGGGAATTTCAGTAAGGAAGAAAGTTTACGGTTGAATATAAAGAACGTCTAAAATTAGCATTAGCTGTTACTGAACTCCAAGCTGCGCCTCCATTGACCGACATTTTTAACATGAGGCAAGACAATAACACTGCATTTCTGCTTTGGTCCCTGGCGGTACGTTATAAGTTTAGGTTCGAGGTGTATGCTAAACAACCCAGATCTCTGATGTCATAAAATCAGAAGCAGCCACACCGCTAACACTGGACCAGGCCAGCATGTTAAACGGTCACTAACGCCCCAACTGAATGTAAACAGGACCCGGGGCTATATAAAGCACATCGCCTTGTGACGTTCGGCAACTCAACACCAAAAGAGTGGCAACGGGGCATTCGTCAAGCCGGGGGGAGACCTGTAACTGCAAGAAAGGCTGTTGACACGCTGAACTCCTGCCACCGTAACAAAAACAAAAGTAGCCACACAACTTCCCAAGTTCATGTCTCGCTGAAAACGTCACAACAAAGTGTTAAAAACAGCTCATAAAAGCAGTTAATAAATCATCCATCGTCTAACAGCTTGTCCTATTCAGGGTTGCGGGGGGGTCTGGAGCCCATCCTGGAAGGTACGAGTGCAAAGCAGGGAACAACCCAGGAGGGGGCGCCAACCCATCGCAGGGCACACACACGCCATTCACTCACACCTATGGGCAATGTGGTAACTCCAATTAACCTCAGCATGTTTCTGGACTGTGGGGGGTGGGGGAAACTGGAGGGCCCGGAGGAAATCCTACAACGACACGGGAAGAACATGCAAACTCCACATGCGCAATAATGGCAAAGACTCGAACCCTGGTCCCAGAAGCGCGAGACATCAGTGCTAACCACTGCACCACCGTGCAGCCCCAGTTATTAAATCAGCATGCGATCATTAGAACATTTAAACACCACTGTAACCCCACAGACAGCAATCCTTTCAGATAAATCTTTACAAAAACAACTCAAGAGAATAACTTAAGTTGTCAGTCAAAAGATGTGCAGCACTCCAGTCTAACAAACCTTTCAAACCATCAGCAGTATCAGCACCGCCCACACTTTTGTAAATGATTTCATGGAAAAGCCTCTACACTTCCAAGGACTCAATTATATATGGCTATCGGTTTCCCCAATTTATTGGGTGCAGGATGAATCCAATCCCTCTCCTAATGATATGTGCTATGAGAAAGGCCATTACCTCCACGGTAACACAGTGCCCTAAAAATGGAATGGGGTAACTAGTACCCAGCCAACCGCAATCCCTGGCACTTTTCCCAGAAAACCATTTACAACAGTTTTGGTACAGTGGTGCCACGGCGCCCAGCAGCGGTAACAGAAGACTGGGGTGCGTGACTGAGAGCTGCTGCCTTGTAAGTGTTAGACACCGGTTTGAGATCTAGATTTGCATAAACTGCCTTCGTCATTCATCAGTCAGCAAAAGTCAAATTAGCCATTTAAACAAATAGCGTACAGGGACAATATGGGCCTTTAGCTTGACGAGCGGGAAATGGTGGAGATGAGGGCCAGTGGGTCTGTCAAAGTCCTTTTTCAGTACCAATGGCTGCTGATGGTTCCACTGCAAACACCTAAGAGGGGCCAGGACAGCATCCCCTTCTGTCAGGCTGCCACAAGCACAGCTATCAATCTACAAGGGTTTTTCATTACTTATCTGCAGATACCGTATAATCATGACCAGAGCAGTCAAACTTGAAGCATTAATCTTACCACAGTGCTACTAAATAAAGCAGTCGCATTGTAATAAACACACAAATATGTGGACAGATAATCCCTCTTGGCACTGGAGAACACTCAGTCAGGAAAGGAGAGGATCTACAAGAGTCATCCTGTTTAGAAACTAGTCTTGTATACAACCGTCTGCCTGCAGCAAGCTGTGAGGCTGATTTCAAGATACAGCCGACCATTGAGCCTGCAGTTGGGCGGGGCTAAGTTCCATGTGCTACCAGTCAGCTTTCCAATTTCAGGATGCCTTCTACAAATAAGATCTGTATCCTGAAGCAAGATCAGCGTTTCGTGCTACTCCAGAACAGCCGGATACATGCCTGACGAGGGTTGTGCCAGGATAAAAAGCAATTATCCCTCTAGGGAGAAAAGTTAATATTTTTATAGTGACAATTACAGAACAGGAGCCATTCAGTGCTGTGGATTTGTGACAAAAAAAATCATAACTGACACTGTGAAAGATCGCCACAGCCAGCCCGGTGCAAGACGCCCACTGTGAAAGATCGCCACAGCCAGCTCGGTGCAAGACGCCCACTGTGAAAGATCGCCACAGCCAGCCCGGTGCAAGACGCCCACTGTTAAAGATCAGAGTCAGCTGAGTATAAGACACTCCTGCCACAGTACTCACCTCCATGTCGTAAAACTCCTGTACGTCATCCAGCCCTTGAACCCGCAGTGGCAGCCCCTTGCCTTGGCTCTTTGAACTGAGGCTCTGGCCTTGCTCCAGGGTACTAATGCCAGCATTAGTCTGGGTGCCCAAACGGGTCCCGGGGGTCGGCAGAGCACGGTACGAGCCCTCGATCTCACCCATTGCTCACCTATGGCCCTCCTGCACCCTAAAAAGGCACAGGGAACACACACAAGGAACAACAAGTTACACCATGGGTAGATGACAAGTGAGCAACAAAAGCATACAAGACTTTAATCAATTTCCAACTTCCCTATCACACAATCAAAAAGCAGTGCAAAAAACAAAACAAAATGTTTTATGGGAAATGAAATTTTAGTATTGGCAGATGCGGTTATCCACATAGCTAGTAGGTATCTGCCTTCCTCTACCAAAAGTGTCCAGTTGTCAGTGAAATCACTTATACTAGGGTTTAGGAATAAACAGAGGTTGGTATTATATAAAGGTATTCACGTTGAGTAACTGAATTAAAATGGGCAATTTCCTTGGAATCAGATTAGTAGATGTGCCTTTGCACTTAGTTACCAATTCATTACCGGTGAGTAATTCTAGGCCGGTTCCTAACAGGTCAGTCACAATGATTCATATCTCCACACCACAGATAGAAAACTCTTTCCCTCTAGAGTCAGTGCTCTACGGTCTCCCTCTTAAGGTACACAACTGAGTGTCTGAGGATCAGCATCGTCATCTGACAGTAACCTATTACCGTATCCCTACATTCCATCCTTCTAGGAGAATACAGGAAACCCGCAGCTTCAAGTGGGGAAAAAATGGCAAATAATGCCGGCTTTCATATAGCAAACAATCGATAGACTGCATGCGATGCTCTTTGTTCCGGACACGCCAGGGTCCGCCTACCACGTGAACTGCAATATGCTGTTATCAGGACGACACAGAAACAAAGAGCTGATAACAATGAGCCTTTCACAGGTTAACAGATTCTTTCTTTGTCAAAGAGAGGACTTCAATTGGAAGAATTCGCCAAAGGTTTGTGTAAATTACAAAACATCACAGCAGGCTCATTCCTCAACAAAAAAAAAAGTAGCAGAAAAACTGGCAGTTTTGGTAATGGGACATTACAAAAATCTATCATACTGGCAGACCGAATAATGAAGTTTGCTCATAGAAGAACCTTGAATTTTCACATCATTCCCATGGACACAAACACTAACCAGTGTGCTAAAATGGTCTCCAAATTTTGACATGCTTAAAATACCAAGCAACTTAATCGCTAACAGCATGTGTAATCTGACATCAGAACCTAGGTATAAGTACATTAGTTATTTGGGAAGACATCTGATACATTTAACTGGCTCCTATATTCAAATTTACGTAAGGCCTTTCATGAGTGGCAGGCTAAAGTTATGCTGTAAACATTCAATCTAGGTTTGGGACAACCAAAGCATGGAAATGATAATCAATCCATGCCACTCAAAAAAGCACTGGTGATCCATCTGGGCCAGACGACACGAAATACGACTCATCCGATCCATTAGAAAATTTTGCTTCGACTTTGGAATTCTAAGCATATCCGAGCATAACAGTGAAGCAACACTAAACAGAGCAAGCCACATTTATTTTTGATTACATTAAAAACACACAAACAAACAAAAAGGCTGCATCAAGGCGACTAACACAATGCACGCAGTGAATCAACGCAGGATGCACAGAACAGCCAGATTTATGAGCCCCCCCCCCAAGCATGTCGAGCCCCCGACTCCACACAAACTTGCAGCTTGTTTGCATGGCTACGCAAGATGGAGACCCACGCATCTCGCCTGGCACTCTGCACTGGACTCCGGAACCATATGCCTATTTACTTAATTTTCCCGAGTTGGAACACAGTCCTGCAGACCCGCCTCATTTATCCCCCTGCAAGTTTCTAGTACCGACTGAAAACTTCATAAAAAGTTCATTTAAAAAAATGCATCGGACGCCCCCACCCCCCACCCCTAAAAGTTCAAGCTGCATTTCCAAAATTTTGCATTATAATATACCAGTGTTTCACATTTACATGAAAAGTGAGCAGGAAATACAATGTTGGCCAATAAAAGGTACTTCAGTATCAAACATACAAAAGCAGTAATATAACTGCACAAAACAATTCCCCTCATTTACATTTTAGGCATATGTTTTTAAAAACTACACAAGAAATTTCCTTAGTCAACCTGACACCAATTAATTCAAACTCTTGTCCCCATTTGGCCATTTTTACCTTCAGCTGAACGTTAAACCTCGGCGAGTAGTCGGTGCTTCACTAGGCGTACAGACAGTGAAAGGCTTTAGTTAAGCATAAGCGTGTCATTTTCTTCCCGAGTTCTTATTTAAATACTCGACATTAAAAATAAACGATAACGTTAAGGGCTAGTTTGTTATTCCAGTCGGAAAGAATATAACGCCGAACAAAGTTTACTTAACTAATCCTATTTAAACGGGATTTTTCTTCTTTTCCCACGTCGGCAAGCTTCAGTTAACCCAAAGTGCGTACTGAGTAAAACAACGACATTTTCAGAGTAAAACGACTTAATACCAGCGTAATACCCTCACAATGACCAATTAAGAGAAGTTCATACCTGATTTTTCTTTTCGTTTTATTCCGACACTCTCTACAGAAGCCCGCAGACGGCCATCCCAAAACCGTACCGAGGGAATGGAGGATGCTGATTGGACACATCCCACGATATTTCCTATTCTGATTGGCTTACAAATTAAAACAGTCGCTAACCATTGGCGGATGGTGTTACCTGTAGGTGATAACTGATTGGTTGCATAAAAGGAACAAGTCGTTGATAGTGATTCGTCAGTTTTCCAGCTAATGCCGACATCTCAAAATAGTGTTTAAATCGAGAGGTGTTGTCTCAGCCTGTAAGAGTTTTGTTTAAATTATAGCGGTTGAAGTGCAGAGTGTATCTTAATTAAAGCCTTTGTCCCACTCATTCCCATAGTAATTTGTCAGTGTGATCTGTTTGCATGCAGCACCTAACCCACTGTCAAGTCTGAACTTGTTCATACAGTCCTTGCCCACTTTCAATCTGCGATCTGGTCACATGATGACTTGTGTGACAGATCTGTCATCTGGAGCTTCTCCAAAACTCTGCCTTCCACCTTCCCTGAGGGGGTTCACCATTTTAGACCGCAGCAACAAAGGACCTCTGTTGCAGCACACGTCTGCCCTCCAAATAAGAAAAAAAAAATAATTAAACCATAACTTCCCCAGCTTATATAGCCGGTGCACGGCTGACGAGAAGATGGGCTGGCTGGGAATTTGTAGAGGGAGAACTGTATTTATGACATTCTGGCATAAATGCTCACTGTTCCCAATAACTGACACCACAGTACATGGCTCTACAAGTCATATATCACGGGGTCCAGAGACTGAAATACTTGACTACTTTATGCTACCTGTTAATGAGTTCCTTCGAAATAACAGGGAGCCAAGTGTTTTCAAGTCTCTGATAGCTCCACAGCTATAAAGCATACACATACTAAAACAGAGCACAAGTTCATGACTTTAAAAATGTAAAATAAAAAAACGGATAGTGCTTTTTAATTTCATTCAAACGTATGAGCGTATATAATCTGATTTCATTGTAATATTTTCGTAAGATATCTTAGCAATGTCAATGGTGCTGTCTTTCACCTGCGAGCAGCTGCACAATGGAGTCTGTTGTGAAACCCAGCTGGCAGCCATATGAGACGGGCATCACTGTTCCTGTGACAAGACACGGCCTTTACTCCACGCTCCACACCCACAGCTGCCGCATTTCTACCCCCGACTCAAGGCAGCCATAATTCCATTTTGCCCCCTAGTGTTCACTGCCTGTCACTACAGTTACTAGTATTCAACGTCTCTGGAGACGAAGACAAACGCAAAAACCTGAGTTGTTTTGAAGTCGATCTAGCAAATTAACCTTACGTTAATGTCCTGATGTTGCAGATTTATCAGGTGTCATAAACTTGTGAGCGCGACTTTTGACACCCGCAGGTATTATTCAAACATGAGAAAAAAAATTAACATAGGTATGAGTTGGGAAATAAATACAAATCACACTGTCCAACTAGCAACTAGCATAAAGATATAGAGGACTCAGAAATGCGATCAGTGCCAGATCAGACACCATTGCAGGGACCTGCATTGAACTCACATCCAGTAAAGAGTAAATTTGGAGGGCCCTCTTTGGGGGTAGCCTGACTTACGTGTGTATCTGCAAAAGTGCTGATATCCCTGCAAGGACAGCGCAGAGTGAAGATTACCCTTATTACATTTAAATGTAGCCACTGACATTTTAATCTGAGGTGATTTTCATTTCTACAGCAGTTTGTGGATCAAGCACAGGGTCCCTGGTGGAATTTGATCGAAGATGCCTTCACACAGCAAGTCGATGGCTCCATTGCCATGCAGCCCACTGCCTGATAGGATCTGCTGCAGTTTTGCTACAATCACCAGCTGTTGTTCAGATCTCACTCTGAAAAGCTCAGGTCCCTTCAATCCTGCTGGAATATGAATTGTAAATGTTTTTAACTTCACATTTGCTGTTTGGTTTGAAGCCAACCCCCCTACCCACGGTTCTGCAAAGCTTTTAAGAATGGAGAGCAGATGTGTTCAATCTCTGTATTTACAGTGCAACTAACCACGCTTCTAAACAGTGCAAGTACATCCTTCATAACAGCCGAACGCCGCGATACAAAGCCAATGCTTACATATGCAGAAATGCTTTTACGGATGCATTTAATGACCCACTTCAGTAAAAGATTTAATTTTACCATGTGCTGACTATCATTCAACTTCAGACTCAATATAACACAGATAAATACTTCTACAACAAAAATTAAGAGAACAGTGTGGATTTAATAGAAATTTTATTACAAGACAAAATCCATGTCTTTTTTGGTTATTAAAAGTGATTGAATAACAGAACAAGCATGAAGAGATTTGCCTCAGTTATAAAGTGGGATAAGACTGTGGAGGCAGACTGACATCCCACTACCCTGATTACAGTTTGACGGTCAGGATGAGGCATGAGCTTCCATGCTTAGAGAAATTAGTCATTATCCAGAAACTCATCAGGAGCAGGAGGAAGAAAAACACAGCCAAAGCTGCCGCTGGCTACAGCTGAATGTGGGGTAAAGGTTTCTGGGGGGGCACTCATTCATAAGACTTTATTTTCTCCTCCCTAGGATGGGGGGGTTCAAAGTTCATAGGTCACAATATAACTGGCATTTCGACACGAGCTGTCGTGCACCTAAAATTGGCAAGACCGCGGCAACAGCGCCGACAGTGTACAGTTCAATGACAGCGCTGCTGAACGCACTGCAACCTGAACACGTCTCAAACGTACAGTTTATTTCATTGCTTAGGAATGTGTTACGTAATAATGACGTGCAAACACAGAGCTTTAAAATTACAACACGGGAAATACCTTACGATGCCAATGACGCATTGATAGAAGTTAGTTCAAAACAAAGAAAATAAGTTGCAGAGCTTTAATACTACAAGTACAAAATCTCTCAACTGTAATATAAAAAAAATAGCTGAAAATAGCCTAGTGGTCCTGTATTCCCTGCTACAGATATTATTGATATTAAGCATAGAATTCCGCAGCAGAAGAGTAAATTCACAGGCTTGGCAGCCTTGATTGGCTGCCCCTTCACATTCTGGCTGCTGGGGACCTGCACTGCAGACCTCAGCGGAGGGGTGACAGAGTGCAAGGTGACGCCGTTCAAGGTGGACGGAGGCCTAAAACGGGAACGGGAATCCCCCGAATTTAAGGCTATATATTTTTTTTGGGTGGGGGGGAATAGTGGAGAGACACACCAAGCGGGAACTCACTACTTCAGAACAGTAGCAGCATTTGGCTTTCTCAGCATAAGAAAAAAAAACAAAAAAAACACGATGACTATTTAAAAAAAAAAAAAAAAAAAAAACTGTGCCCCATATTGAAGGATATTTTTCTTACTGGTAACTAGAACAGCCTAATATCACAGCTCAGTTAAATAAAATAAAAACAAAGAGTTTAAATGTAAAACATGTGACAGTATTGCTCATACAAGACAAAGTTTCTAAAAGGCATGGGATATGAGGCATAGTGGCAAGCTGCTCCAGTAACACACATGAACTGGTCCTCCGTCAGGCTCTCGAAGCAGCAGAAGTGGACCTAGGGGCAGACGACGGAGATTAAGAGACAGAGGCTGGGAAGTGCCGTCGCTGCAAAGCCCCAGGGCTGACCGTTCGATTCCAGCCTTGGGAGTGGCAACGTGTTTTCAGGTTCCTGCGGTTTATGGGATCCCCTCCCATAATCCAGAGGCTCTTCCTCGTCCTTCGTGTGTTTCCCGGGGGACTTTCCCTGCGACGGACCAGCTTTGGCCCGAGCTGCACCCTACATCACACCATGTACTCCCCCAGCACTGAAAACCATAGCTGAATAAGCACTTGCTAAAAATGGACAAACGGCATAGAGACGGTTAAACTTATTTCCTCCAGATAAATTCCCAATACTATCAACTGCAAAGAACAGAAGAGAAGAAAACTCTTTGGAAAACCATAATGAACAGTCATCATATCACTTTCGAAGGGTCACGGACTCTAATTGCCGGTACTTATTGCTAAATACTAGGTACTGCGTTTTCCTTCAGGATGTGGGACAGATGGGCGGAGTCTCACCATGCTCTTCACATGTGCTGACCGTCCCCGTCTCCATCTCCCTGCTTCTGCATCTGTGCCTGCATCTTGGCGATCATCTCCTGCATGCGCCGCAGCTGCAATCCGACGAGGTCAGACTCATTCGGCGAGCTGTATGCCTCGCTTCCCACAAAGCCAGGGAGCCTGACGGTTCTTCAACCCGAATCTCACATTCATTCTTAATCATTTATCTGATTAAGCTTTAATCCAAAGTGGTTTACAGTAGACGGAATGGTTATTATAATAGTTTGTGTGCTCCCCAGGATTTGAACCCATGACCTTTGCATTGTTAGCGAAATGCTCTACTTGTTGAGCTACGGGAGCTGAAGAATGTAACCCCGGAGAGCCAGGCTGAGAGCGCAGGCCTGGGACAGGAAGGGCAGGTGTGGTGGAGGACGACAGGCATATCTCTTACCTCCGCCTCCTTCGCCTGGAGGATTATGTCCTTGTCCACCTCCTCAGGCTCCGGACCCTTCCTGAAACAGACTTAGAGTGAGGCGGGCAAGGGACCATCTGTGCCGGCCTAACAGCCGTCTCTTACTGAAGCTGAGCCGACTCTGGGCCGTCACATGAGCGTGATACAACAGGACTTGTCTGATTTAAAGCCCATAAATGTGACAATATGCGCAATTTAAGCAAGCGGTCGAGGAGCTCTGCGTAAGGACTCCTGGGTGCTAGGAATACAGGAAGGAAGGGCAGGGTGAGTGAGTGCGGAGCGGAGGAGCAAAGCGGAGAGCCAAGGAGGCGAAGCAGCGAAAGCAGTTAAACAGAAAAGCTGGGGGGGGGGGGGGGGGGGGGGGGAGAGTCAGGAGGTGCCCCCCCACCCCCCACCAGCGGTACCTCCACCCCCCGCCTCCCCGGTGGGCAGCTCCCCGGCCCCATGGCCA